ATCACTTGGCAGCCGGACAGTTTTGGCAGGGGGCCTCAAGTTGGGGATTATCTGGTACATTGTCCTCCCAACAATGAACGTGGGCGCGACGCGCCAGAGGGTGAACACGTGAAAGGAGGGGCGTAAGAGTGGAGAAGGAAACTCAAGGTCGCAAGCGACGGGAAAAAGGGTTTCGAAATTGGCGCGCAGGTTTTGCAGCATTTGCTCATGCGGACAGCCAACGCCGCCCTGGTGGTTCAACTAATGTTTTGTTCAAGATGGCCGCCGTGGTACCGCAGCCTTAAAGTACTTCCCAACACTGGCCGCAGACGTGTTCAGCAGGACGCTACGTGCTTATGCGTGAGTAAGTACTCACGCACAAGCAAGCAAGTGCTTTCTTTGTGAATAAACTTATTATTATTATTATTATTATTATTATTAACGCCAAAACACCACTCATACAGCGATATCTCGAACGGATCGAGCGATATTTTAGAGAAGTATCGCTCGATGTACGGCTCGTCGAAGTGAAGTGCGCACACCCCGGAGTTTTCCTGAAGATGCGTGTCTCCCCTCGGAATATTCCTGTCCCAGTGAGAGTAGAGAACTGGGTCCTTCGGGGCGGCGAACAAAGTGCGTTTTTCTTTTGCAGACCTGTAGCCTGTCGTGCATCCTGGAACGAAGCAGTGCTTCGCTCGCTGCTTTTTCTTTACGCCGGAGGTTGACGGGGCAACGTCCATAGTCTCCACGTGTCACCTGACGGACGGGCATGCAGGAACGGTTGAAATAAATTCACACGAGCGCTGAAGAACAGATGAAAGCGGGCGTGAATTCGTCGCTACCCGCCTTGCCGCACGCAAATCCCCGCGCCAGCTGCGCGCGCTTAGCATACACTCCAGAGCCGTTTATACTGAGAGAGTTTGGCCGATGTGCGGAGCTTGTTGGCCGCTAGAACAAGCGGATTTCGCGATAACACAATATGGCGTTACTTCTTTGTCTTGTTCATTCCTGAGAAATCGCGTAGAGTTCCTATGAGTCAGAGCCACAATATGGCGGACGGAAGTAGTCATCCCCCGGTTGTCAGACTACGCTGCTGTGGTTGTCAGACTGTCAAAATCTCCTTAAGAAGGCCAAACTCTCTCAGTATAAACGGCTCTGATACACTCTGACTAGAGCGCCCCTGACGGTGATTTTCCAAACCGGCCGCGGCGATGCATGGGAGAGCCGGCGCGCTCGACACACCCAACTCTCTAGCCACCCTAATGATACCTAGAGATAATACTGTAATATAACTATGGTACCTGGATCGCGTCTTTGACTGGTGTGTTTAGCGTCCTAAAGTGGTCCCGATGTGGCAACAAATGACGCGAGTGCCATGCTGTTGCCTGCCGCGATCCTGGCGGTTGGCCGTAGAAATGCTGGCGAAAAGCGCGAGCGAACGCGAGTGTCGCTGTCGTCACGGCGTCCCTTTAGGCGTCCCAACTCCGGCTGCTTAAAGGGCAACTCCGCTTCTTTTCCAGTAGTGCAAAACTATACAGTTCTCTTTGTTATCATCTACAAAACCCCCATAGCAAATATTACGACGGAATTCCGCCTAGAAGTTCATTAAAATCGCTGTCAAAGTTTGACAAGCACGAATCCGCTGGTTTTGGATGAGACGTGCGGGCCAGACAACACTGCCCGGCTGCATTTCCGCTTCCTCCAAATTCCTTCTCCCGGCACGTCCGCGACGTCATCAAGCATGTACAGCTTCTTTTATTTTTTTCAATTTTGTTTTCTTTTCCGAGGAGAGCACGGGTGGCGCCAGCGCCGTGAAAGACGTGAGTGACGCGCTCGGCCGGCCCGGCGCTCGACTATTGATACTACTGATAAGCCGATCGCCTCGTTGAGCGCGGCTTGTGTTACATCCCATACTTTTGAACACCAAGTAAAAGGAGGAGAGAGAAGCTGCTTTTGTAAGAATTTTGAGTGACAGGTTAATCTTCTATAATCTTCTGGGAGGAGAATAGCGACGCCTGTGCTAATCCAGGAGGCACAAAGGAGGATCCTGATAAGAGGGGAGCTCCTTCTTCCCTTGTATAGACCAGTGTCCGCGCCAATTCCGGGGCGCCGCCATGTTTATCTACGCTCGCGCCACCACGCGGAAAGAACTGGCAGGCAGGGAGGGGGGGCTGCGTTGGCGGCGTTGCTTTGGGTAGCTGGATGCGGCAGGCTGTCCGAATGCACCGACACATCGTGAAAGATGTCTTCACCAGAAGCCTCTGCGGCCCGTTCTTCAACAGGCAAGATGTCGTGAACATTCGAGAACCCATCTCGATCAAGGAAAATAAGGGAAAACGTTTCTTGTCTTAGATGTTCTCGGTGTCTGCTGACCCTTGACATCCGCGTTTCAGTCCGGGTTCATTGCGTAGTAAATATTTCGCTACCGCTTTCTTGTAGCTTTCAAATGCTTGATTGTTGGCTTCTTGTATACGACATTACATTCGTGGCACGTTTGAGACCGATTTTTGCGATCTGCTTGCCTTTCTGCGGCAGCGCGGCTCTGCCAAGCAGAAATAAGTGCGAGGCGTTCACTTGATCGAACGCAGTTTTAGCGAATGAAAACGAGACGACGACGTTTCATCGAATGACTAGCGAATGGGTCTAGTTACATAGACAGCTCGGATTAGCTTTCTTTTGTAATGTGGCGCCTTGTCTGCCGCTGCGAAGCGGCGTAAACGAGGGCTCCGAGTATGTTAGCACGAGTCCTCCCCCCCCCCCCCCCCCCCCCCACACACACACACACACACACTGCGAGCGTCTGGGTTCGAAACTATTAATTGCCAGTTCTAAAGGATGGTACTTACTTGAAGTGGGAGCTGGAATTCTACGAGGTACCAGGAGACACTTACTATCGGGCAACGAAGCACGGTGCCTGTGGGGGCGGAGTCTAGGAACGCTACTGATTAATATTGTGACAGGCGATCAGTTATGATAGCAGACGAAACTGAAACTCGACTCGTTTGTTCAGAAGTTCGCGGTGATATTTTATTAGCCCTCGTTACAGCACACCAAGGATCTTAGGCAGTGAAATTCACACCACGCAGGCTCGTCCGTCGTAGTCAAATGAGCGCAGTCGACGATGAGGTGTAATGAGCTACTAAGCTTCACAAGGAAAATGCGCGTGAGAAATAGTTTTGAAGAAGTCCAAAACACCGATCCAGCAGACGCACGTACACATCGCGACACTGTTAGCGCGAACACGACATCGGCGCATTTTCGCATTTTACTTCTAAATAATATTAGCGAGCACGAAATTTTATCGGTTACATTATAGAGCTAAATGGGCTCTTTCCATAGCACTAATATCTTGGATGAGATCCCTTGGTTTAAAGGAGAAAAACTGGAAAAACCGGCCATAACTTGTTCGCGCTAACAGTGTCGCGCTCTGTACGTACGTTTACTCCGGACTTCATGAACCCGACGGTGCAAGATCAAAGAGCACCGCCGCCATCGCCACCCGGTTTTCTCTGCACTTTGCGCGACGACGGCACTGCAACGGAGGGCACTCGCCTCGGCGTTAACAATCCGCGAAATAGATTAATTTCCCACTCTTGAAGCCATTTCAAATGATAAATGAAAATACCTCGGCGTTGTTGAACATCTGACGACACAACCAACACAACTGCCGCTGGCTGCGTGAGCCTGACACAAATGTGCCGAGCGCCTGCTTGGCACCGTTGTTGCTCGTGAAGGCCTGCTTATTTGTAGTTGAGACGATGATTCCACATCTTTCGTAGTGCTTGCAATAACTTCGAAGGGCAGGGGAACCTTCTCACGAGGACGTCGAAGACACTCAACACCGGAGCCACCAAAGCAATCGCACAAACCGTCGCCATGTTTGCTTCTTCTTCGTCACTCGCAGCGCGGTCAACTCGTAGCGAGATGTTTTCTGGCTGGGCTAGATGAAAACCAACAGCGGCAAAGTGGCGTATGGACACACGGCTCTCACATTACGGGCACCATAATCACATACCGCGGTAAACAGGACCCATGCCGGCGAAACGGCGGTCGGCACACCAGCGAAGAAGCCCTCAACGGGAACCGGCGGCGCAGGCCGACGCAGCCCCCCCACCCCGTGAGCGTCTGGGTTCGAGATTATTGTTCGCTTTTGCTCCTTGCGGTCGAGGCTAAAAAGAGCACTTCCGGACAAAGGTCTATATCACGCGGGTGTACATGCTTATGATGCCGAATATACAATGTTGTCCGGCTTTGCCACCGTTTCGGTTTCGGTTTGTAATCATGGCTAGAGTAAAATTACACGAAAAATATTTTATTTTTCGCGAAACAAAGGATTGGGGATTGTTTTTGAGTGCTTCAAAAAGCAAAATCGGCCACTATCTCAAAATTTTTGAAATTAAGCGGAGTTGCCCTTTAAGCTTCCGTGAACTGTCACAGTGAAAGCGACCTGAAGCAGAACACGCATCTGCTACATACACCACAGCTGTTGAGACGCCGCCAGGGTCGCGAGCGGCGACAGCATGACACTTCTATGACGTCATCAGGCGGAAATCGAGGGACCACTCTTTTGGCCACGGTAAACACACCAGTCGGAGAGGCGCTCCAGGCGGAGCAGATCAGTGGTCAAGCATATTTGGATTTCCTTTCATATTAAAAATAGCGCAAAAAAGACGGGACTACGATAAGGAAAGAGGGACTTTGAAGACAAACAGACAAGACAGGCGAAGTCTTCAATGTCCCTCTTTCGTTATCGTAAATTAATAACCAACGCGCTCACCCATCTACAGACGGGACAACAAGACGAAGAAGCACACAGGACGAGCCCTTCTCATGTGTGCTTCTTCGTCTTGTTGTCCCATCTTTTTTGTGCTATTTTTAATATGAGCTTCAATTACCAACTTGCCTAGCAGTCCAAGCTTCTACAATGGATTTCCTTACTTGTAGACCTGACTGTGTTCAAGTTTCTTTTTGTTTTTTTAATATATATGGTTAACCCGTTGGGTTAACCCGCCAACTTGGACGAATCTTACACAACTGTTGGCAACACTGTGCTCATCGTTCCGCAACTGGCTCGCTGAAGCGCTGAAGTTCCGAGGTTCGTTCGTTCTCCAATGAGTGGGTTCTGGGCGGCACAACGGCACGATTCGGTGTTCTCTAACTTGCTTGTCAGTTCGCACGTTCGTCGCCTACACTAAAATGAGCGAATTCCTGTGGAGCCTGAAGAACGGAGACCTGGATCAGGTCAAAGACTGCGTAGAACAAAAGGTAATCCGGTGAAGCGACGCCTTCGTGGCAGTTCTTCATCGCTTCCCTAACCCCATAGCCCCTCGATAGGATATTCACGTTGTTGAGCTGACCTTGACGTAACGACTAGCGTGCAGACTCGGTCGTTTCAGTGAGAGCAGTGACCCTAGACCCGCCCATAGTACGTCCTTCCGGCGCATACCGCAAACCGAGCCCCGTTTTGGAACTCCCCTTGAACGGCCGGCGAACAACCTCGTGAGCAATCAGGCTCGATTAGTGATATCCGCAGTCCAACCTCCGAAGCTCGTTCCCATTTCCGTCCGAGTGGCGATTTCCATTCGCCCCGAATGAATGGACGGCGCTTCAAAGTGCCCGATTTTCAAAATTCCTGCCCTATGTGGCCGTCAGGTTGGCTGGAAGTTGGGCTGCTGGCCGATGCACTCGCTTGCGTTGCTTGCGGCTGAGCTTTATTCGGTCCTGCGAGAGTTGTAACTAGCCCACAGGAATATTTTAACGCGTTGAACGAGCAGACAGTTGTTTTCGGTGGTCCCAAGCAAGCGCTTTCTTTATTTCTTTTCCTGCCTCGCAAAGACCGAGAACAGTACAGTTGAGCTTTGGATCCGTGCTACTAAGGCCCGCTTCCGACGGAGCAATTTCGCCCAGCAACTTGACGTCGCAACACCAGCAACACTTTAATTTTCGTAAGGACCTAATTTTTGTAAATATCCCGAATCGTCTACAATTCGCGAAAAATGGAAAAAACAACCCGCGTTCACTCGCAGCAACCGAATTGCTACGACTAGCCATCATCATCATTCAATTTGATTTTTCATGCACTATTTAAACGCACAGCTACGCACTAAAAACGTGTTTTTATATCTTTGAATGGCGTTTAGAATACAAACTCATCTGTCTGAAAAAGATTATTTCCAAAAGCAATCCATTTCAAACCAAAACCAAATCTTTAGCTGTCATCATCACCATCAAAGGGGTGTCACGTGAAAATGTTGCATCCCTCATTGGCTGCTGCCGCTTCAAACGTCTCCGAGTTGTTCGAGTTCCTCGTCCGTTTCGAGCCGAACCCAATCTCAGCATTTCGCATTGATGTACGGAAAGCTAAGGAAGAACCCGCCAGCAACCTCAAAATTGCTGGAAAAGTTGCCCTGTCTGATGTGGGCCTAATACGGGACTAGTACAGTACTAGCCAAAACACCTTCGGCGTATATTCCTTTTTTGTCGAAAAATTAGGACTTGGAACAACGGTGGCGAAGCTGCGGCTCTTTGTGCGAGTGCGGCTCTCTGAAGTTTAGAAATAATTTGTGGGTCCTAATTTTTGCGACACGGTGGGATCTCAATATAGATTCCAATGTGTTTATATTGTACCGAAACTGTTCGCAGGACCTATTTTTCGCGAATTGTAGACAATTCGGGATATTCACAAAAATTAGATCCTTACGAAAATTAAGTCGCGCACAGTATCACCAAGAACAGAAGATCTCAGAAACGTCTTTAGTGCTTCTGAAATAGTTTTTGAAGCCTTCATTAGTCGAGGATAATTGTAGATTGAGTTTGAATGGTATGCTAATACAATGCACCTAAAACACATTGCAGACTTAGAGCTACTGAAAATACAGAAGCTTGCAAATATTGATCGTAGACTCCTCACACTTCAACAGCCACTTCGGTGGCTCCGAGGCGAGAGCGTTGGCCTACGGATCCCCAAGTGGTGGGTTCGAATCCTGGCCGAGGTGCCCGCAATCTGACGGAGGCTTATTGCGGACGAGGCGCCGTGTAACCGAGCTTTCAGTTGCACCTCAAAAGATCCCCAGGTGGTCGAAATTAATCCTCAGTCCTCCGCTGGGGCGTGCCAGATGCCTGCCGTTGGTTTGGCAGGTAAAACCCCCAAATTTGACTTTTTTCTCACACTCCAACAGCACTCGCTCCTTGTACCTTGAAGTTCGCTTATGTGGCAGTGCCTTGACCAATTCTGCTTCTTGCTATTATCAAGACCCCATAAAATTAGACCATTCGCAAACTTCTTGAAGCATCGACAGTCGTAATTATGTCTCGTTCGTGTCCAGGAAGGATTGCCCTGTTGACGGCCTACTCATCAAGTTGTAATTTCTAACCCTTGCAACTGGTTGGCCATCCTGCCGACTGGTTTCCCGCAGTGTATATCGTTTGTGTAGAGAGCTATATCCACCATGCAGGTCTTCTCGTGTCATTTGGCAAATACTGGAAAAGAAGTGAACTGCCGTGCAGCATTCGAAACTGGCGGTGCCGAGAAATTAGTTTCGGACACCTCGCCCCCTCGCCTTCCTCATGCTGTGTCACTATTGCTGCTACTGATGTTCCATGTTGATATTGAATCATCAGAGCCATCATCTTTGTCGCTGTAAAACACAAGGTCAATGATTTCACCCCTTGAGAGGCTTCATCTCTTCCGGGATGCCATCTTCTTGTGAAAAAGAGGACAAACTTGTTTTTAGTCCTAAATGCTCGTAAAAATAGAGAACATAAAGTACCATATCTTGTCAGAGGTACAGTACTAACCAAAACACAAGTGGTGCAGCATGGTTTCCATCTATTGGTATATTTCGAAAAAAACGTCTTAATGAAGACTAGTGAATTGCCAACTTTGTGCATCCGCAGGAAGGCTCTGTGTAGACTCAAAATAGGCGCTCCGCAGAAGGACTGACATCCTTAATCATATGTATGCAGCATGTGCATAGAGAACTTTATAAAATAACATAGGTGAGGAAATTCTCCAAAAAAGAAAAAAGTTGTTCCTAATTATTGTTAGAAAGCTTTGGTTTTCAGTAGTGATAACATGTTTGCGTGCCAATATCTGAAATTTGCGGAGAATCGCTAAGGGTCTGACAGTTTATAAAATATAAGTAACGTAATGAACAACTAATACTATTTAGAAAAATTGACTTACACCCATAGTCCCTGGCATGGTTTCTGAAAATTAATGCTCTTCTAATCTCAAGTTCTAGGACAGCGTACCCAATTGTGCATATGTGCTGACAAAAAGCAAAGCTCTTGGGTACTCTACTGAAATTTCATAACATTATTACCCAATTTATTTACTATCAAACATGGCTACGCCGGCGGTGCACCTAAATGCGAGTGACCACCTAGCTCTTCTTAATCTGCAACTTTTTGTGTGCAAAAATTTTCTTTTTCTCCGCAAAAATATTTTTGGGCACGTTAGTATACTCTAAATTGGGTGAGGACACGTAAAAATGTAAAGCGTATCAAAAGTGTAGACCATTTACCCACCATTCAATCGCATCTCAAATTGCCAAACACCATATTGTCGCGTGATTTCAGCTTTGCACCGCATAGTGTAAATATCGCCCAGTACGTCTTTATTTATTTACAGAAAAACCCGCATCACCGTTAGACATTTGTGGCGAGAGTTGGGTGCAAAAATATGAAACAAAAAGGTTCATTATATGTAACTGAAAAGTTAAACAAAAACACTATAAACACAACCGTTACAAAAGAAGGCATCATCTATAAAGCTATTAAGATACGGATGATATGTTCTATTAAACGGGACTGGAACATTAAAAAAACCATTCATCAGATACAGTGGCATTATAAACACCAGAGGCATCTCTCGAGTAGTGGCACAATGCGGATCCAACCTGATTTTCCACTCAATACATTTTTTTTTTTTTAACACAACCCGCTTGTTGTTTTGCTCTGGCCATGCCCGCCATCGGTCGGGGCACTAGATTCCCCGATGTCACTGTTCCTACGGTCCTTAGAACGAACCATGGAGGACACTAAGAGCAAGTCTCGTACACAGTACACAAAAAAAGTAATCAATTACTATTACAGTTACTCTCGGTTAAAAAGTATTCAATTAGATTGCTCAAAAAGAAAATTTATTGGCCCTCGAACAAAATAACAGTTACTTTTCCGATTACTTGAAATTTTCAGAAGTATGGAGTTGTCTCCTAGTTTGGAAAGGGGTCTTTTCTACTATCCATTATTAGCCCCGAGAGCGAACACAAGCGTCGCTGCGGTCGCCGCGCCCTGATTGGGTGAGGTGTACCGTGACGTCAGGTCGAGTACCCCGCTCCGCGATCTCGCATCGGGTCGCTTCCCAGCACCGGTTCCCTGGTTTGGCGTTGTGCGCCGCAAGCTCTTCGAGGAGCCGGACTTCGTTTACCCGGTGTACAAGACGTTGAGTTCGGCCGATATTAACGTGCTTCCGTACATTTTAGAAGCCTGCTTGTCCCTTTTACCTTTAAAATCGGGTTACAAATCCCGAAAACTATCGGCGGAGGCAATTACGCCGATGAACCTCCCCGTCCGTCCACACGACGCAAGGCAATCTTGAGAGGGATCGGTGAAGCGGTGACGCAAGTGTTTCAGACGCTGGAATTCTGTTCCTTGCAAGTTCATGATTTAGGACGATATTACATCCCGCTTTCAAGGCATCTCAAGCGGCCTTTATAGCATGGGCCTTTCGGTGGTCGGCAAATTAGCTCGCGACCCCGACTCTGCGCTGGCACTCTGCATGCGCTGGTTCGCAGATGTTTTAAAGGCCCTGCGTCTGATGATCTTTGAAGTGCTCATGGAACAGGGTTGTTTTACATAAATGTAGCTTCTTCCTGAATTAATTATATAGTTTATACGCGTATGCAGGCATATTTCTTAGAGGATTCACTATTACTGGAAATTAGCTTGTATGGTAGCAGCAAAAACGGCCGAATTTCCCCCAGTTGCCTCTATGAAACTGCCCAAAATATGCACAGCAATAGTGCCGTAATTTGGAATGTTTATACTTTTTCCTGACATTCTTTATTCCAGCCTTTGGTATTCGGAAAATACACCGTTTAGTCTGAATTGTCATTTCCATTTAAGAGTCACTGCCGCAGGTCCTCAAAAGCTTCCTCAGCCTCCAAACTCCCTGCAACTGGACTCTCTGACAACAGAGGAATACAGGAGTAAAAGCAAGCATTCGAACGTCTGTCCAGTGGTAGATGCAGCACTGGTAGCAG